GATCAAGCAAGCAATGTGATTGGCATTTAATATATTTCCTTGATGATCTGTGGTGATAATAGCTTGATTTTGTGGTGTGAATCTTGTAGGTGAGTGTAAAGTAGATGGTTGATTATTGTATAATGGAATGTCTGATAATGAACCTAATGTTATTTTAGGCTTTCGAGAAAGACGCGAATCATTAAACACATGAAAAGTGAATTAGATAATTTTTTAATAAATAATGTTATTGATACTTAATTTTATAGATTCCGATACAAAGAAAGAATGAAGAAACATCTGCAGCTTCATTATGGTTAAAAGCAAAAAAGGATGATGTAGGAAATTCTATTTTTATTTGGATATTTGAAGAGATTGTTGAATCCATGATGACAGCTGAAATAGATGAAAAGGTATTATATCATAATTAGCTCATATTTCATGAATTTTTTTCATTATAAAATATATATAAATATATTTAATAAATAATTTCATAATGAATTTAATAATAATTAATTAGGGTATAATACATAATTCGTCTGGTGATGTAAAAGCTTTATATGGTTACACTCCTGAAGAAATTGTAGGAATGTGTGTGACAACTTTAATCCCTGCATTAGAAGTCATCCCGTCAATTGAGAATAATAAGAATAATATGGATATTGATAATTCAAGTTTACCTGATATACGATTAGACATTGAGCAAATAAATAAAACTAAATATTATGGAAGTCGGTCAAAAAATTGTGCAAAGTTCCCAATAATCGGAAAAATATCGACATCATCAATTCAGGAAGAAATGCATGATCAAGGATCTACCATTTATCGACTTAAAATTATATCTATGCCTACTATTGCCGGAGTTATAACTGCACATGCAACTGGCATCATTCAATCATGCAATTCCGTATTTGTCAAATATCTATTTGGTGTTGGATCTCAAGAGTTAATCGGAAAGCGCTATATCGAGTCACTTTTACCTCAATTTTCTCGCCTTATTGATATCCTTGCGTCGGAAAGATCTCTTGTTGAAGGAGTTTTAATTTCCGAAAATGCTTTTCGACGTGCTGCTGCGTCAATCTCTACTACATCTAAAAATAATTCCCCATATTCTCATACAAAAGACTTTTCATCTACCACGTTATCTATTCAGGAACCTTCTGGTATAATAGCAGTACACAGGGATGGTACGGAATTTGACGTGGACATTCAAATGCGTGTTGTTGAATCCCCTGATGAGCCATTGCATGCATTGTGGATTACTTATGATCGTAGTGCTAATTTTGCAAAAGAGCAATCCTATTTTGATAATTTTGAAAATCATGTTGAAAGGCTCGAGACTAGTAAGCATTTAGGAGACGAGAAAATCCAAGAAGAAAAGGAAAACTTTCATATATCTAAATTTATAGCGGTGGGAGGCAGACCTCCTTTATCAACAGGTCATTCATCTGATCGACAAATAATTACGCCTCCTGTCATGTCTCCTGCGCCTGAG